TTCTTTTTGTCTTTTAATTTAGTATATTTCTGATCCAATTCATACTTATACTTCTCAGTGCTTCTCCTTGTCTGATTCCAGGTGAGCTTTCCCATTCAATCCAATGTTCATCATTATTTTCTTTTGCTGCTGCTAAATGTAGTTCATACACCTTATTTTCTTGTTTGGCTATAACACTTCTTTTCTGTTGAATCATGATGCATAGTATTTGTTGTTTCATTTTTTGTACACAATAGTCTACTTTTCTTCCTTTGATATTACATTTTACTTGTATAAACTATATATAAAATAGAATGTGAATGTGGAAGTATTTCCATTGGTCAGACAAAACGTAATTTAAAATACTGCTTAAATGAGCATAAGGGATATGTAAAAAATAAAAAAAATGAAAATTAATCCATAGCAGGACATGTACAGGAAACACAACACAATATTATGGGAAAAAAACTTATCTCTTATCCTTATCTCTTATGAAATTGTTAATCTCACTCTAACATATCAGCTGTTAGGCCTTTCACTCCCACAATGATTAACTTTTTTCTGACCGAACTTCTTCCCGTGACTTTACTGTCTTGTGCTAGTTTTTCATCTGCTTACCACTATTTATGTCTTATCACTTAGGCCTTTTAGAAATTTCTATATCCTTGACATCAGTGGATTGCATACAACATTCAGTGGCCTCGACATCAATGAATTATAAAAAAACATACGATGGCTACAGAGTTATGTAACCGAACATTTCATAACTATCACTTTTAAAATAATTGCTTTTAACTCCTGTTATGAAAAAACTCAACAATCATGAAATATTCACTCACAAAATGAATTAATTAATAATACCTATACTAAACAGTTTTTTATACCTGACAACATTTGCAGTAAGTATGCATTATCATTCACAACATATCAGAAAAGATGATCGTGCTAGTTATAAAAAATAACATTTAAATTTGTTTCCATATATTATATGCACCCTAACTTCTAGATAAACTTTTAGTGGAAAAAAATGTGTATTTGGAAAATTATGGTAAAAGGTTATATTAATATCATGTGAAACGTGTTCACAATGTGGAAAACCAAGCCTCTCTGTTAGTTTCCAGTCCACATAAGCAGTTAATAGTTGAAGAATTTCGTGATACAATATTATAGTTCAATAACTCGTATATGTTAGTCTGTCATGTAACTAATTGTTCTTTTGTTCACAACAGAATGTTAATGAACTTACACCATTGACGGCAGATGTTATTAGTCGTCAAGCTACAATAAACATTGGTAAGAAATCCTTATTTTTTTTTTTTGTTGTTATAATGAGAATAACATTTGAGTGTTGAAGGTGCCCTGTAATTGTTTGCATACACATATATTTTTGTCAGAATTTTGAGTGCTGTACTTTTATTTCTATGAAATACGGCTTTAGAAAAAAAATTATTTAAAATATTTTTAAATATTTATCTAACATTCATCTTTTTTTTCAGTCATTATAGAATTTTACTCTTCTACATAAACTAATTCCTTATTTTCTTAGATTGTTGTTTTGATTCTTTATCTGTTTAAGTAATTTTCATGAAAATGCTTAAAAGATATATGTATGTACCCTTCTTTTTTTAATATTTTTCTAGAAAATTGGTCATTTGAACTCACCCAGTAGGCTAAAAAAATGTTCACTGTGTTCATACAGTCTAGATGGTTTTATAGATTTAAAACATTTTTACATGACTAGGACCATCATTTTTGTATAAAATATGTTCATAATAAATTTTTCAATTTGAATATTTTAAACTTAAATCATGTAAAATCCTTGATTTGGGGGCTTTTTTCCAGTCTACTGAATGTTTTAAAGGTACTGTGTCTTCTAGGTACTATTGGACATGTGGCTCATGGAAAGTCAACTGTTGTAAAAGCTATTTCTGGTGTCCAGGCAAGTTTAAAATAAGTGTTTTCTCTCCTTTGTTTACTATTTTTGTGAGCTGCATATCCTCTTATTAATTCATTGATTCAACTTATGATATAGGCTTCAATCATTACTATGATTTCAAAGTATAACATAGTATTAGCTATAGCTTTGGTTGTAGTTACTAAAAATTTTCAATTGTCTAATATATGTATGCTGTTGATCTGCATGTGTGTGTACATAAATATTTATATTCAATTGGTTACATATTTTATTTACCAATACATTTACAGTCAAATAGAATTTTAAATCATACCATTGGAAGTGACTGGAGAAATGTTTTTTTTTTTTGTTACATGAAGTTCAAAATTTTGAGAATTCAGTGTTATGTCTAAATTTATTGTTAAATAGTACTTTGTTTTTAATATTAGCAGTTTTTCTTCTGGCAATTTCCATTTGAATATAATGCAAAAAATAATAATTTTTAATGGGGAAAAATATATTTTGGTTTAAACTTTGGGCAAAATGTTTTTATTAAGATATAATGTTGCATACTTGAAGAGTTGCTAATGTCCAGACTACTATGATTGCCATTTTGTTTGTTTTTAAGATATTCACTGGTTCTCAATTGATTACATGTAAATGAAATAAATTGATAATGAAAACATGTTTTTCTATCACTGATAGTAGTAATGTTTTTATATAAAATGTCATGATCAGAATTAAAAATAATTAAGTAGCTAATTAGCCAACTTATTTATGTACATTGTTTGAACGTGCTAAACATAAAAATTATACCAAAGATTTGAGTCATTAGAATATTTTGCCATCACCTACCATGCTCACTAAACCTAACTAAACTTATTTGATGTTATCTTATCAATGAATATTTCTGTAGATTTCTGACAGATATAATTGCAAACACTTTTACAATGTCTAAAGAAACTATAAAAATAAAACTCTCAGCTCTGTAGTTTGTTCCTAAGACTTTAAAGCTTCCTATTGAATACTATTGGTCACTACTAGAGGAGCTTTAACTAGGAACTTTCCCAAGAAACCATAAACTGTTTCTCAAACTCTACTACAATACAAAAAAAGTATAATTCTTGCTACATCTAATCATATGTAAACTTTCTTATAACTATTTCCAAAGCTGTGTTTTATTATTAAATGATGAAACCATATAATATACTGTTATAGAAGGGTAGTAACCAAGACACATATAAAAACTAAGAAGAAAAAGACAAGTGATAGATTTAAAGACAAATGATGTATTTGAAAATTAGGAAATGGATAACATATTTTCAGTGGGTGATGGGTTCTTAACAAACATAAAGTTTTCTACGAGATGAACATAAAAAGTATAAAAAATCAAGTGCATTATTTACAGGTTATTTCTCAAAGCCGCACAGAAATGTAAATTTTAACATTTTGTTCTTTATGAATAACACATAAGTGTCACAAAATGATAAAATATCAATTCTAAAATATTTTTGAGTTAATAATTATTATTATTATTACTTGAATTTTGTCAATATTGTAATGTGGACTTGAACAGTTGTGCTAAAAAAGTTTTAAAGTATTAGAAATAAAATTTGGTGAAAGTATGGCCAAAAAAAATACATAAAAAGCCAGAGAAAATTTGTAGTAGCCACTTTTCAAAGTTTCAACTAATGTAAATGTAAAAATTTAGTTTAATATGATTTATTATAAACTTAACATGCAAATACATTTCCAGACTGTTAGATTCAAGAATGAGTTGGAAAGAAATATCACTATCAAATTGGGATATGCTAATGCAAAGGTAAATTCATATTTTTATCTTTATAATTATGTTTAACTACATTATAAGTAATGACACTTGGCACTCCTAGTGTTTTTGCTTGTAGATTTTGCTAAAGCCCCTAGTAAGAACTACATTAAAATTGTAATTTGTGATATCATAAAGTGTCATGAATGTGTATTGTGGGTAAAGGTGGACTGGAAATCTTTGTTAGGTACTTTATTGTTATATATTTGTTTGAGTTTCCATAAGTATAAGAAAGTTTGAATTTAAAAATGGATGTAAAAAAAATTGTGGAAACTTGAAGTATTTACAAATTCTTATTGTTTACAAATTCACAAATTTTTAATAAAGTATATGTCCAATCAATGTGTCACAAACCTTACAGATCAGAAAATATGTTTGGGAAGTCATAAAAAAAGTTGGTTATGGATAATTAACGTATATATGAAACTTAAATGTATTTAAATTTTGGGAAAGTATTTTTAAAGTAACTATGAAAACATCCATAAATTGCACAGTGGCAATTTTTAATCAATCCCAAATACATTCTGTACGAGTCATCTAAATATTTGATTTACATGCATCATTCACATACAACTTTTGTTTTTGTCTAAACACACATTATCTTTCATACATATGATTCAAATTTTTAATTTTTGCGTATTAATATTTTTGATATAGATATTGAAAAACTTAAAACAAGTTTTTTGCAGCTATTTAGCTGTTTTTGTTTAGCATCTAGAATCATTTTGTAAATGATTCACAGACAGTTGAAAATTCTCTTTAGATTTACAAGTGTGATAACGAGTCTTGTCCTCGGCCTGATTGTTATCGATCAGCAAGAAGTAGCAAAGAAGATGATTTCCCTTGTGACCGGCCTAACTGCAGTGGAAGGTTTAGGTTACTTAGGTATGTAATAATGTCTTCTCAAAGTAATATTCAAATTCAACTTAAGATTTAAATTAATTAAAATGCTATGATGCTGAAGAAAGTTTATTTATGTTTACATTATACATATCAGCTAGTTTTATTTAATCATGTTTTATGTATATAAGCATTTAATTGAAAAAACTAAATTTAAGATTATCATTAGTTTGTTAACTGCGTGTTAGTGTTGTTATATCATGTTTTTTTTTCTTTATTTTATCCCTATGTTTTGCACCAACCCCATTTCTGTGTAGTTGTACAAAATAGGGTTTGCCTTAATCTCAGACTTACAAAATTTGGTAAGTTTTAGTAAATATTACAAGTATGTTGTACCTAAGAAATTCATAATTTTTAATAAAGTATATTTACTGAGGACTTATTAGGAACAAAAATACTTTCTCATCTTATACTTTCATATTTCATTTCCAAAACCTCCAGAATCTCTCAAATGACTATCAAATATTTTTATCTTTATCTCTTATTTTCTCTACCCCAACACTAATGCACCAAAATCATCTGTAGTAACAGTTGAAATATATGAAATGAAATCAAAAATGTTTTTTTTTATTTTATTACTGGAATGACTGCAGATTGTAACAGACAATTACAATTATATATAGTAAAAGCTTTGGGTCTCTTAACTTTTCAGAACTGCTTTAATTTAATTTTGTTTTCTTACTCTTTGAACCATGCCTAACTACCGTGACAAGCAATAAATCTCCAGGTGGTATTGCAGAGTAAACAGTTGGATCAGATTATATCATGCACATCTAACTGCTCAGGCATTGCTCAAGGAGTGATGATGAAAAAAAAGGTTTTCACTCCAGTTTTTTTCATCTAACCTTAGAAGTTTTTAATATTTACAAGTTAATTACTTTTGTTAATAAATATATATCATTAAATGAAAAATCTATTTAAACAAACAAGAAATTTAGAACTTACCTTAGCTCTGAACTGTATGTACTCTAATCTCAACTTTTGTAACCCATATTTTTTTAACTATGATAGTTGTCCAAAAAATAATTTCTGCAGTTTACAAATATGCATTTCAAAACACAAACAATAACTCAAATAGTAAAATATAATGCTCAAAAACTACTGACCTGCTTTTGAAATATTGACTTTTACCAAGATAGATACAGTCATCATAGTCAAGTAGTCCATAAAATGGCCTTTTGTAATGCTTATAAACATGTACAGTTGACAAGGAAGTTTGAGTAAGTGATTTCAAAGGTATGAAGAACTAAAGAGCAAATGTCACAATTCTCATACTAGAAGAGATAGAGGATTTTTTTCAATATTTAATTATAAAACTAAGAACTTAACACTTCTATAATATTAGCATTTGATTTATTAGCTGTGTATTTATTATTTATTAGGTTATTTGTACAGCTTGATAATAAAGTAGTTTAATTAAATTTTGAATGTAACTTTGTAAAACCTCGTGATGTACAGAAAAGGGTGCCCGTAGCTACACAGTTGAGCTTATAAAATAAACCTTATGATTATAAGCATTTCAAATCAATAAATCCATAGTATATTTATTAAAAAGCAAATACGTCTTGGTTTTAAAAAAAAGAGCCAGACATCAAGATACCTCTATTTGTACTATGTATATATTCCTGTGTAGAGGTAAACTATTAAATCCTAATAATAACAAAACCTTCTCCAAAAATTGTGCATTTCTCACTGTGTTAAACTTTAAAAGTTTTCTTTCTTACCCATTCAATCCATTTCTGAACTTTGTAAGTTTACCTACCTTATCACATGTTATCAGATGTCATCTCGTTGAATTGAAGCCAATTTCTGCAGCTTTAAAACAAATATAATTTAATCCACAAATGCTTCCACAATTCACAATAATAGGAATGTTTACAGAAACTTCAAAAAAAACTCTTGAACTTGTATATTTATTCTATTAACCCTTTCACTGCCAAATTTTCTTACGGAAAGTTGTCTACAGTGCCGGAATTTTTGGTGAAAAATGCCTATTTTAGAATGCATTATTCAAGAATCCATTAGTCACCCTAAAATGCACATATATGCACTGCAAATATTAGAAAAGAACAATAAACACAACATTTCAGATGAAAAATAATGTAGTTTCACTACCTTTTTTCTTCTAACGTCTGAAATGCTTGACCATGTGGTACTTCGTGAAGCAGTTCTGAAAACACATGGGCAGGCATCGCCCCCACCCATCCTTACAATTCATGCATCCATGTCTGGTTTACTTCCTCTTTGGATGTGAAGATCTTTCACTGCACGCTACACAGTTAGGCTAGTATTTAGGATCTGGATAAGCCATTGGAAAGTGATGCCCTGTCAGTCACTCCTCTCTATACTCTGGGTTATCCATCGACCTCCTCCCTTTCCTTCCAAATTTATTCAGAGGAGTAGAAGCACAGAATTTGGCTCCATTTTTGAATTATGGTTGGCAGTTGTGTACAGTATGTAGGAGTTGAGTAGTGTTGCCTCTCTGATGAAGTGATAAATTGCGTGGTATCACTTTTTGTATCTGTGTAGATATGGGTAGTTGTATATTTCTGGTCAAACAAGTCAACTCCTCCACCTGAAGCATTGTAATTGCAGGCCACATTTGGCTTTTTCAAATCCCTAAATCCAGTCTCTGACTGCTTGGATAGAATTTTATTTCCGAGTGTAGCCATTATTATTGATTGTTGAGAGGAAGTTGACCCTTGCAGTGTCATGCCAGGAGCAGACAAGCTTATCACCCTTTCTGTGATAAACAGGATCATCACCTTTCTTCAGCTGTAACCTTGCTGATCTAATTTCTTCTGAAAGTCCCCTTCTATTCAATCTCTTAGTTTCACAGGCACTAGTACCCTGTTGCTTGAGGGTTTCAAAGAGGCCAGGGCTGGAGTAGAAGTTATCAACATTTAAATTGTGGCTGAGGTTCAAGTATCCATTATTTCCCATCAGTTTCATAACAACATTATGACCCAAGCCTTGCCACAGGGTTGTTGTCTCTACCAGTATAAACATCCCAGTCTAACAGATAACCCGACTTGCTCTCACATAATCACCACAGTTTTATACCCCACCTTATGGGTTTGTTCGGTTATGTACTGACAAAAGTATATCTGTCCCTTCATCAATTGTAAGTTCACAATGTGGAATGTAATACTGCTTATGCAGTGGCTTCACAATGTTCATGAGGGGAGCAATTTTATACAAAGGACCATATCCTTCCTCTCCAGGTGGAACCCTTTGAGAATTTTCACAAAAATGAAGGAACGAACTGATCAGCTGGTAACGATTACGTGGCAGTACATCTTGATAACCAAAGGACTGGGCTCTACCCCCAGTTGCCCAGTAGTCACTAATCCTTGGCTTCGAACACAATCCCATCATTATCTGCAAGCCAACATAGGCTTTGATTTTATCTGTAGTACATTCAACCCAATCATTGTAGCAAGAAATTTCGGGACAGTCTGCCAGATTATCAAAGAACTCCAGGCGTTGTGGTTAGTCATCTCGCAAATAAGCTCAAATGCTTTCTGAGGGAATAACAAGTAGAAATAATCCACACGGTGCTTACCATCAGGCAAAGGTGGAATCACAGGGTCAGGCCTTTTGGCATAAGCTGGGCACCAAATTGGGATATAATTGCCATAATCGTCATCAATGAGCCACTCATGATCAGCATCAGCCATGCCCCCTTACCTACCATCATCATCATCACTGTCCCCATGCGCTACATCATGTGTATTATCATTACTTACAGCATTATTTGGATCTGTCACTGATTTCCCAATCATCATCGCCAAATTCAATCAATTCTGAGTCTGAATACATTCGGTATATCCTCTGTGGCAAGCCATTGTTTTTGTTTACATTTACCTGTTGACATGGTTCCAGTCAGTGCCATGAAATTGGGTCAAAAGTCAAGAATTTCACAAAAATAACACCCATGATCGAGGAAACTATACTAAATTACATTGTGGTTGCCTAGAAACTGTGTAGGTGAGGCACGGAATAAATTACAGACCGGTAAACGGAACTATGTCAGGAATTCGACTTAGTCTTGTTTGGCACTCTTCCTGGAATTCGACTAAAGTCGAGTATGGCAGTGAAAGGGTTAAAATATGATATGTTTAACTCTATAACTACTGGTGCCATTTTTTAATTCCTTTCTGCATATGGTACTGCATTACATTCAAAATTTAATTAAACCACTTTATTATAAATATATGTCAATGAAATTAACATTATAATGCATGTTATCATTTGAATTTTTATGTTATTTAAGTTTTAATTTCTTTTGTTTCAAAGGAAATGTTTTAAAAAAAATATGTACATACTTTTCAACTTCTCATTGAAATCCACTAGAATTGTCTTATTTTTTCTTATTTGTGAAATTTCATGTCTTCATCACTTATAGTTTATTTTTCATTTTACTTTCAAATTCTTTCTTTTATTATTATGCTAATATGTCAACTGATGCACATGGGGCTTTATGAAGTTATTTTGGCAGACTCCCCACAAAGATGCATTGCCTAAGCATGATGGTACTTATAAATGCCATCTTATTTACTACCTTTCACAATCCAGGTGACAAGTTAAACTTATAAAAATCATTAAACCTTTCAAATATTATTTTTAAAACATACATAATTAACTAAAATATAAAAGTAAGACCTAAATACAATTTAACTGTCTCTAAGTATGGTATATTTAGGTAAAAAACCACTGTATGTGCTATAGTCAATCAAGTAGACAATAATACTACATGTACACCGTAAGGAAAACTGTGTGCCACTTTCAAATTGACCATTGGTGCAGTATAGTGTAAACTGAGCTCTTTCTAACGACTTTTTTCACCTGTGTCAAAAAAATTACATGTACATTGTAGGTCTCAAGGCAAAGTAAAGAAGGTGGGTGTTTGTTTCAAAGGAAATGTTTAAGAAAAAATACTTAAACTGCAGTTTTTGTGTCAGATGCTTTGAAAAATCTCAACT